TCCACGATCTCCCTCCGCTCTCTGAATGCAGGAAGTGATGTATATTAGCTCACTTCCGCATTCCTCTATCACTCTCCAGTACAGAAGCAGATCTGTGCTTCATCAGCTTCTCTGGGGGTCCCTATGTGACATTAAGGGTCTATGAGATAAAAGTACCACAGCGCTGAATACTGAAAAACCTCTTGCTGGACAGGAAGGGGGTGTAAACACCCCGGTCAGCAAGAGGTTAAAACACACAGGGACCATGGGGAACAAAAGTAGCCCCCCTCCAGAAGGAAGGACAGTGTCAGCACCAATTCAGAGATGATTTGAGGATCTACAGCCGAGTGATACACAAATAAGATACATTGTTGTTATTAGTGACTTGAATGTATTTTTAAGATTTAAATCCGGGAGTTTAGTGTCACTTTAAATATGTACACAGAAGTGAATAGCACATTATTGCCTTGACTCCTTCTGTCAGATGTTTCAATCAGAATCGTGGTGGTGGTGGGTGATGCACACTAGGCTCAATTAAGATAAAGATAAGGCCTTCTAATTTAGCCACATGACTGTAATTTCAAACCTCATATAGTCCTATAGACTCGAGTCTATATGCAGCCTTATAGTTTCCCTGCAGATTATAAGAACATGTTTTGGAGAGAAAACACACAGGCGACTAGGAAAGCACCGATACAGTTTTTCGTTATTAAGCACAAGTATCAATATTTTTTTTTTTTCTTCTTTCGGTACTCACAGATACCAGAAGTCCCTTTAAGGAAGCCGGCCTGTAATGACTCGCCACCCGGCTTCCTGATGCTGGAATTTCCGGTATCGGGAGCATTTGGCCGAGTACCGGTGCATCCCTAAAGACAACCTTCCCTTTGGAAAACCAGAGTTGACAGGGTGACATGCTAACCCTCCGGCTTCAATCCATTCTGAGTCACTGACCCACAACAAGTATGCCGACCAGGAATTCAGACTTTACTTGCTGCATACTTTTCTTTGCTCAGTGACTCAAAGTAGAGAATCCAGAGACAGTCAGCCAAATATCATTATCAATGGCAACCTCATGGATAGGTTTTAGTTCCAGGTTACCTTTGTTACCAAATAAAAACAAAAGAAATTCGATGAACACATCTCAGGCTTTATTTCATTTATTGTATTAAACATAAAACAGATAGGCCAGGCTGAAATGATACATCGCATTAACCTTTTCTAGTAACCGTCCCTTTATACTTTACACGTCATCAGACGCCAAAACTGTGACGTCTTCTTAAGAGGCTTCACAATGTTAATAATAAATACAGAGTTAACCGTTAAACCTACTAAATGCTGTGTATGGGAACCCTTCATCTGTGTTTTCAGTATGTTCAGCGTCATGAATTACTCCGGAAGGCAATTTGTTTTATTTGATCTGTTACAAAGCTTCTTACATGGAGATCCCACCTATAACAGCACTTCCTGTTGCAGGCTGACAACACTAAGCTGTTACCTTGCAATCAGCACCAGTGTTTTCAGCTTGCCGTGCGCGCTCCTTCAGTTGGTCATTTTGTTGTCCATCAGGTCAATTAAATAGACAGCCCATGGATAAGTGAGGGAGAGCACATGGCAGGCTGGCAAACGCTCTATACTTAAGAGAACTATGAGGTGAGTGATTTCCAATCATCCTAATAGTTAGAGCTAACCTGTGACAATGAAGCGGTCACATGTCGGCTCTATTGATCGAAAAGGAAGCAGAAACATGCACCGATCTGCTCACCTCCCGATCGTCTCCCTGCAGTGACTGGTCAGTCACCGTTCCCCGCAGGGATTCCCCCCCTCTCCGATCCTCCAGCGCTGACTGGCGGAACGGATGGGGGGAGAGGGCGGGCACAGCTGGCTCTGCCTCTAGATAGGTAGAGCCCGCTATCATTCACGCAGCTGGGCGGATCTCGACAGTATTGTGGGGATCCGTCCCGGCTGCAGCACTCTCAGTATATTTCGGGCAATGAGCTTTGGGTCATGGAAGGTTAGTATATGTCTTCCCGTGACCCTAAAGAATACTATGGGGAAAAACACTTCTCTTTTTAGCCCAGGATTGGGTGAGTCAGAGGGGCGGACCTGAGGCGGGACTTTGTGTAGCTGTGTATGTGGGAGTGCGGACAAGCTCCAGCTGGTGAGCGCCTGGATTCCCCCCTACTTGTGTGCAGTGGAGGAGCAGTGCAATCTTTTGAGAGGCTGGCGAACACTGTTGCTAACTGCAAGGTGGTGGCTTAGTGTTGTTGCCTACAACAGGAAGTGCGGTTACTGGCAGGATCTCCAGGTAAGAAACTATGCAACAGATTTACAAAAAAACTAATTGACTTCATAAAATTGTAACAGTGAGATATGATGCTGAGCATGCAGAAAAACAGATTAAGGGTTTACATACACTTTAAGTGGACCTGTCAGCCACAGACTGTAAGCAGCCATTTTGTGGCCTGACATTATAGGTTCATCCTACTAAAGAAGTATAGAACTGCGTTGCAGTTTAGGGTGGCAGACAACATGTCTGCCTTCACCGGCGTTAGCTCCACATTAAAACTTTAACACTTTAAGAGGCTAATTTAACAATGCAAAAAAGTGCTGCGGAGGTGCAAAGTGCAGATACTCATAGCAAACCTTCAGACTTACCTGGGCGGAGATGTCTGATTGCTATGGGATACCGCGCTTTGAGCCCATAGTAAGTGTACAAATCACTCTAATGATCACACTGAGAAATCAGGTCAGCTGTTAAATGCACAGAATAAAAAAATTTAAAGCAAGCAGACTTAAAAATTAAAGATAAAAAGCAACAGGCTCCAGCTAGGCCGGCACTAACCAAGGATCCACCTGCCAATAAGAAGATATGCAGGGGCCATTTTGTCTATTTGTAGTGCAAGAATCGTAATAAGATAAGTGCGCTTGAAAACAAAGTGCATTTAACTTTTTTTTTTTTAGCACCCTTCCCATACCCAATCTAACCCGCCCTCCCTCTGGGGAGATACATACTTCCCTCAATCTGACAGCCGCTGCCTCCTGTGTTTGTTTACATCCAGAGCTGCAAGTCTCAATATCCTGGCCTTGCCTGCGCATTACAGTCTCATAGTTGTCTATGGGACCGTCTTTCTTCATTTGCAGCCTTAGGACACAACCTCATACAGGTTTATGGGGCTGTACTGCTCAGGCGTGACCAGGACAGCGAGACTTGCGATGTTGCTGGATGTAAACAAACACCGGAGGCCGCGGTCATCAGATTGAGGTCATCTGTAGAAGGGATGTGTTTGAGCACAGAGGCAAAAGAATAAATACACTTTGTATTAAAAGTGCACTTGTCCTTTAAATTGGGGCTGTAGTCTGGGTGTCAGAGAGAATAACGCACTCTCCACCGTTAGACAGCCCGATCCCTCCTACAGCAGCTCCAAGCCTCAATACTTTTGCATCGCATGTAGTAATTCTCTTTGGGATAATTGCATATATCATTTCTATATGGCTGCATCCTCTTAAAACACTTGAATAAAGCACTAAGTAACACTAGGCAGGTACGTCAGTACAGCGCAACAAGCCAGAGAGTTCTAAAGCAGGTTCTCCAGGCGTCAAACTCTTCCACTTACCCATAAAGGCAGGCTGATCAGTGATATACAGCCCCCACGGGGCATTAAAGGGCCATTTCACCCTTTAATGCCCCATATTAAAGGGTGTAGGTGTAGGATATTTTAGTTGTAGGTGTAGCCTAGTGGACTGAGTCAGTCCCTGGATTCTTATTAGGTCTTGCCAACTTTAATAGGGAGATCTCCAGGTTATAATTCCCAAATCTGCTTCTGTCCACCTGGACGTTTTGAGTATTCCTGATGATCTTTGTGTGGTGCAGCTCCTCCGGTTTTGTTTTGCAGAAGACAAAATATATAAAAACCTAGGGATGCGCCGATAGCGATACTAGTATCGGATACCGAGTATTTGGGTAAGTACTCTTACACGGCCAAATGCTCCTGATGCCTATCCCGATACCGGAACTTCTGGTATCAGGAAGCCAGGCAGCGAGTAATTACCTACCCCCCCGGCTTCCTGATTGGCCAGAAAGCTGACTCCGTGCTTCCTCATCACCTGGTGACGAGGGAGAATGGAGACAGCTTCACGACTAATCGGGAAGCTGGGCACCAAGTCCTTACACACCGCCCGGCTTCCTTAATGGGAATTCTGGTATCGGTACTCAGTATCGGCGAGTACAAAAAGATAAATAAAATAATACCTTAAAAATGCCATCGGTGCATCCCTAATAAAAACCCAACAGGATGCTGGGAGCCCCTCATAATAAGCACAGCAGGTGTGCAGATCCGGGAACTCAGATCACACCCTTTTTAAGGGATAGATGCACTTTCACATAATTGCTACCCCACTACCCATCCCTCCCCCTCCCAAAATATAGTGTGGCAATGTTGTCACCCTGCAGTTGAAATCTTATCTTTGTTGACAATCCCCACAGGCTTCTATAGGGCTGACACTTGGGAGATGGTCCCATAGAAGTCTATGGGGATAAACGGCAAAGGTGCATTTCTTGCCAGAGGATGACGGATGGGATAAGAGTTCTATGAAAGGGAATTTAACCTTTAAACTACTTTTTGCCCTAACCTAACCCGTCCTACCCCTCCGCAGATGTAGACTTACCTCCATCTGACACCTGCAGCCCTACCATTTGTTTACATTCAGTGTTGCAAGTCTCTGTCCTGGCCACACCTGCCTAATACACCCTCCTATACACCTATGGGAGCATCTTCTTTTGTCTTTGGCCTTGGTACACAGACCCCATAGAAGTGTATGGGGCACTAATGCTCAGGTGCAGTCAGGACAGTGAGACTTGTGGCACTGGATTTAAACAAAATCAGGAGGCCGTGGCCATCGGATCGAGATAAGTCTTCATCTGTGAAGAAGGGTAGGTTAGGTAGGTCAGGGCAAAAAGCACTAGTGCACTTTTTCTTAAAGTGCACCTATCCTTTAAGCAGTGGAAGTGTCTCTCTTTCCTGGAGAACCTCTTCTATTTATATTGAATAAAAGCATTGAACAGCATGGTGCAAGGTACAGTAACCCAATCCGAATTCTGCTTTTATTCAGCAGAGCTAAAATATGATTGGTTGCTGTCAAGAGCTGCTCACCATTGCTCTTTAGACCTTTTTATTAAAGGATCAATCTGCTACCATCTGATATTTCAGATTTAGCTGGCTAGAATTGGTCACTGGTGGTTCATGTCTTTTGGGAACTCCAGTGATGAGATCTCTGTGTCCGAGTTCCTATCTCTGTCCACCTACTGCAGCCACATTGAGTGGGACTTGCTCACTCTGCTGTATACTGGCCACAGCCTTATTTTGCTTCATGAAGGTGGTGGACAAAACTGTGAACTCCACCAGAGATCTCTTGCTGATGATCCCTGAAAGTAGGGATGCATCATACCGTTTTTTTGGTATAGAGTACTGATATTTTGACATTTTTTTTTCGGTACTCGCCGATACCGAGAGTCCCATTAAGGAAGCCAGGCGGCGTGTAATGACTCACCCCCTGATTAGCCGGGAAGCCGTGTAAAGACTCGCCACCCGGCTTCCCAATTAGGAAGGAAGCCGTCTCCATGCTTCTGGTCACTAGGTGACGAGAAAGCATGGAGCCTGCTTTCTGGCCAATCAGGAAGTCGGGCGCCATGTAATGACGCGGCGCCCTGCTTCCTGATTGGCTCCATGCTCTCTCGTTATTAGGTGACGAGGGAGCATGAAGCCAGCTTCCGGCCAATCAGAAAGCTGCCCGACCAATCAGGAAGCCGGGCAGCATGTAATGACTCACTTCCCGGCTTCTTGATACCGGAAGTATTAGGCTAGGCACCGGAGCATTTGGGCAAGTACGAGTACTCGCCCAAATACTCGGCATCGGCACCGATACTAGTATCGGTGTATCCCTACCTGAAAGGATTCAGAGGTCCAGGTGTGATTCAAGCCACCAGCATAACTGAAATATCAGTTTTGGAAAGACCAGACCTTTATACAAAAGCTCCTGTGTGCTTGGTAGCCATTTTTTAGACTAAAGTAACAGTCCTGGACTGCTGGAAATATTTTCCCTTTCTGGCATGAAAGGGATATTTTTACTATTATATACTCAAAGCCCTTTGCTTGTAGCAATCTAGCAAATAAGCAGGACGCAGGCCTGGTGGCAGCAGTGTGTGCTTAGTGAAATGGCAGGCAGGATATGAGGCTGCACCCAGCTCTGCTGGATGCATGCTCCTTAGGGGAAGTAGAGGATTACGGAAATGTTAGCCATAGGGCTGGACAACACAGTCCATATCAGTGTCATCCAGCCACTTCAGTTGCCAAACAGACATAATGTCCTGGGTTTGTAAGATGCCCAGAATGTTAACGCATACCCTAGTGGCATATGGCTGGCATCACATCAAGTACCAAGCGATAGCAGCCGCGATGGCGGCAGCAAAGGCAGCTAAAACAGCTTTGACTTCAGGGCGACTTGCGAGGGCCAGTGCAGAGTGAAATGGACAGCCTGAAGCTCCGCTGGCTGCTGCAGAGGGAGACAAAGACAAAAGGTGTAAGCAGCAAGGCAATAGAATTGTAGTAAATCTAAACCCTAAATGGATTTTATTTAAATTTGACAAAGCACTGCGAATCAAACGACTGGCAGTTTTTAAACTTTCTCTTCTCCTTGTGTCACTCTAGGACTTGGCCATATAGTCATACTGAGGAGCACAGAACAAGAAATGGTCCCGTCACTCAAAAATCCTCCAACAAATTCATGTAGTCCACCATCACGGATACACCCAGCAACCGCTGATGCGTCCCTGCCTTAAACCTTCTTAGGCTGGCCATACACCTATCAATTTTTTTTGTTCAACGTGCGGGCTGATTGAAAAAAAAATTGACCTGATTCCTCCATCAACACAAACAGCGTGTCAATTAAGGAATGCTGTTTACATTGTATTCTAACAGGTGCTGCCGGCACCTGTCTGAATACCCCATCAGAGCGGGCAGCTCATTGGCGATCGAAAATTTTACAGCCGGGCTCCTTCGATCAGCTGATCGAGGAATGCCGGCTGAAAGGGAGCCGACAGCTCCACACACTGTGCGAATTTTCGGCCCATACATTAAAAACCGGTCGAAATTTGACCAGTGTATGGGCACCTTTAGTCTTAGGGTTCGTTCACACCAGATGCAGTGCATTCTGGCCTGATTCTGGCCAGAACGCACTGCATCGCATTGCGGCCGGCCATTGAAGTGAATGGCACCGTAGCCACGCCCTCCAGCCGCAATGAGATCGCAAGGCACGTTGTGCCTGAGGTGCGATCAAAATGCTGGCCCGCCACGCCCCCTCCTGCCTCACAAAAAAGTGAGCAGGCCGCAATGCGATGCAATGCACCCTGGCCAGAATCGGGCCGCAACGCACTGCATCTGGTGTGAACCTAGCCTTAGAGAAGACTAAAGTTGGCCAAGGTGGCTGTTGGCATCCTTTCAGCCGGCATCCCTCGATACGCTGATTGAAGGAGCCGGTCGGAGAATCTTTAAACAGAGCCGGCATGCACCGACCTGCTGGCTCTGTTCATGTATTCTGACAGCGGTAATCAGAATACAATGCAATCAGCGTGAGATTCCTCGATCAATGCTCATAAGTGTTGATGATGGAATCTGTTATATTTTTTGTTCAGCCCGCAGGTTGAACAAAAAATATTACAGTGTATGGCCAGCTTAAGACATTTAAGGCAGAAACGCATCAGCAGTTGAAGGGTGCATCTATGATTGCGGACTAATAGAATTATTTTGGAGGATTTTTGGGCCATTTCTTATCGTGTGCCATCTATACATTTGGAAGGAAGGCTCATCTGTGCACCGAGTGGTGGATGTGAGGCCCATACTAGATGTGAGCTGTACTTCACTTCGATACTGAGGAGTGCACTAGCATGGTGGTGACATATCTGTAGAGGTGTAAGCAGTGATACGTTGCTCTACATATAGAGATATTAAATTAATATTTTCAAAAAGCTCACCTTCCTTAGCAGCATAATAGGGGCACTTGCGGAGATCTCCCTTCCCATCATGTAATGGGAGACCAGCACCCTGAGGCTCGTCGGGAATCGAAGCTCCTACTTTATCCAGCTCATCAAACACCTGCAGAATGGAAAGAACAGTAAAGTCAGGAGTAGAAGACTGATAAAAGTGTGTCCCGAAACTCAAACCTCCAACTCTAGAAGGGGAAGCAGAGCAGAAGATAGAGTCCAGTGAGACAGTCAAAGAAGAATTGGTGTCTTTTACTTCTCCTTTTGATTTAGTTTAAATCTGAAGTGTAATGTATACGTATAACACCTTCCATTGTCTACCACCCACCACCAATAAACATGCAATCAAAATGTTTCAATCAAAGCATTTCATTTTCAAAAAATACCTCTTCTGATATACCATCACTGGGTCTGTCTGCTCAAGTTTGGTGGAAGGGGCTGTCTGGCTCCTGGAAATGTCACAGTACCCTGTCTTTTCTTTCAAGAGCGCAATATGAAAAAGAGCACATCTCCGTCATCCCTTTAGGCATGCCTGCTCCTCCCTGCTGGGTGCTGAGCACTTAAGCTGTGCACTCTGCTGATATGTTGCTTGAGCATGCATATCTAAAGGGATGCTGGAGATGTGTTTTCAAAGAATGCTCAGGAACACAAACTATTAATGGCAGAGAAAGCAGGAGAAGAGGGGATTGATTAATTATGGAAATCATTCAGACAGGAAATGAAGATGGGCAGCAGAACTATGGGCAAAATAATAGATGACACTACATGGTCACTTCCTTAAACTGACAGATTCCCTTTGGCCATGTACACATGGACTTCAGTTTGTTTAAGATCGGTGTGTACAGAAAGCTTTATAAATGCACTTGCAAGGCTTTCAGCAAGCTACGTGCATCATTTCCAAAGCCATTAAAGCAACCTTTAGCTGTACTTTGTGAATGTTTAACACAGGCCTTAAAAGTCTGCAGCGCTAGATGTACAACACTCACTTCCATATTGAATCGGAAAGCGCGGTTAGCCTCCTCCACGATGCTCTCCTTGGCCTCAGCGTCCAGGTCCAGTGTGTTCATTCGGGCCCTGTACAGCTGCTTGAACTGCTGGGCGTTAGTGACATTATCGAACATGTAGAACTGGACCCCCTCCCCATCGCTGGGGAGATGCAGGGCTCTCTGAGCCACCTTCTTCAAAATCTGACCACCTGACAGGTCCCCCATGTAACGGGTGTAGGCGTGAGCCACCAGCAGCTCTGGTTGGTGAAGACCCAGGTGGTGGATTCGCTCCACATAGGAGCTGGTGGCCTCCGAGCACTGGATGGCCTCCTCCCAGTCCTCTCCATAAAAATAAAGAAGATCTTCCTTCAGAGCCTCAGTCCTGTGCAGCTCCTGAGGAAAATATAGCGGGATGATGGCTGGGTGGTCCTTATTCCGGTCTAGTTCCTCCTCCAGAGCAGAGTATGTGTAGTACAATGCAGTGGTGGCCAGCTGTGTATAAGAGAAATACATTTTAGGTCTTGGTTTTCCAAAATATTCCATCCAAAGAGTACATAGGTACGTGAAATCGAAGACAGTTTTGACAAGAAGCAGAGTATAAGAATTACAATAAAACAAGGCTACAAGTCAAGATACCATTTTGGTTTTTATCCCATAAAGCCCAAAACATTGAAAAGGAACTTTGTAAAGATCCCAGATACTGCTTGTGTACCTCTGCGTTGCCCATTCCTAAATTACAACCTATGAACACTCAGATCCTACCTGATGCCTTTAAACTGGAAGAGAAGTCCTGTTTAAAAATAATTTGCTGACAAGCTTTTTATAACAGACTATGCAAGTCTCTGCTGACATAGAAGCTTCTTCCCGCCTGTTAGCAATTGTGGTCCCACACACTGAGCCGCACATGTGCATCTCAGGGTCCAGGCTGGGCAGGATTCCGGCAGAGATTTAGTAACTCCCGTGCACATCTGTGGGAGTTAGGTCATGGGGGGCCGGCCAAACAAGCTGCTGAAGACTCAGATGCTGAAAGACCAGGACGAAGATGGAAGCATTGGCGAGGGAATATGCTCTGGCAGATAACACTGCCATAATGTGTTAACATGCTGTGCATACTAGGGCATTATGGCTCAAAGATCCTGGGGACCTTTTTCTAAATTAAGGCCCCGTTCACACTGAGCGATTTTTGCAGCGATATCGCTCATATTTCCACGCGATATCGCTCTATGTAGCTTCTCCAATCCATTTCAATGGAGCTGTTCACATCTCGTCACTCAATATCGCTTGTAGCTCGTCGCTGGTAGCTTGTCGCTCCTACATGACCCTTTTTTCAAGCGATTTCAAGCGATATTGCATACAGCCCAATAGAAAAAAGTTACGCGACAAGTCGCTCAAAATCACGCGATTTTCATGTCGCTCAGTGTGAATGGGGCCTTAAATGTTCACCGCACTACTGTGTGGCAGCCCAGCCCCCTAGATCTTCATCGCATTGCCCAGTGCCGCACAGGCTTTGCAGAAAAAAGTCCTGCCACCCAGCTCCTATTGCATATGCACCTTTGGCCAAATAATTCCTATAATGAATATTTAGACCTATTATTACTATGGCGGGTCTGTGTTCATGGCAGACCCCCAGCCATCCAGAGCAGTACACCTTCAGGCACCGGAATAAATGAAGTGAGCTCACCTATGTGCAGAAGGCTCAGGATACAGGGACATTCTACAAAGGCTGTGCAGGTAACAGGGGGGTGGCACTATCACAGCACAACTTCACTAAAAGAGAAGCTGTTCTTTAAAGAAAACTTTCACAATTACATTTTGCTTCTCTGCAACCAAGGCAACTAAATGCCGCTGAATGGATGCCAGCTCCACTCGGCCGTGAATTTTCCAACCGGATCCTTCGATCAGCTGATCAAGGGATGCTGGGTGGAACCCGTGCAGCGAATTTGGCCCGCTTTATCAAGAACTGGCCGAAATTTGAAGCGTATATGCCTCGCTTAAAAGCGCCCTTCATACTGTCCATATACAGAACACCCCTGAAAGTCAACTCCCCGCTCATGTGATTGGCTGTCTCCTTTTCCTAGCATTGTATTTCTTATTACAACACTGGGACTGATCATGTGATCGTAGAAGGCAGACTGTCCCATGCAGTGATCAGAAAGGAGCAAGTGACTGCAATGCATGTGCCAGCATCCACAGAACAGAAATGAAATGAAGTTAATCCTTCCAATGTCTATAACTGACCTACAGAAGACTGTGGATTTGTTTTTTAAAGTAGAACTGAAAACACAAATACAATAGGAAAGGAAGAGTTGTGTACAAATGTCACAGCACAGCATTATAGGACTGTCATACTGCAAGCACCAACCTTAAACAGTTCCCTCTTGATGCGTCCCTTCAGAAAGTCCTTCACAAACTTGGTATTTTCAGCCTTGCTGTGAGATTCCTTTGTGCCCTCCTTCAGAAGCTCAGACAGGTCTGTGGGTCTGGGTGGGAGAAACAAGAATGTTCAGTAACGCATCTCATCCACAGAACATGGAAACAAGCTGGTAGTTTAAATGGAAACCCCTTCAATTTTACCCAATGGGCTTGTAAAGCTCGAGTCACACCAGATGCATTGTAGCCTCAACGCTAGACAAAACAATGTTTTTAGATTGAAAGCCCTCCTTACCATCTCGTCTTGAATTGTATTGTAATGTCTTCCTTATATTGTAAAGCGCTGCGCAAACTGTTGGCGCTATAAAAAATTCTGTATAATCATAATAATAATAATGTGCCTTGTTACAAATGGGCTCAGTTCACACCTCTGCATTGGGGTGATGTGCACTATATAAAAAACAAAAACAAAAAAAAGGACTGCATCACACCACGCTGTGCCCAAAGAACTAAACTCAGGAGTTAAATCTTAAAAATACATTCAAGTGACGTAACTATTAACAACAGTGTATCTTATATGTGTATCACTCGGCTGTAGATCCTCCAATCATCTCTGAATTGGTGCTGACACTGTCCTTCCTTCTGGAGAGGGGCTACATTTGTTCCCCATGGTCCCTGTGTGTGTTGTAAAGTAGCCACCGCTCCAAGCTCACTCTCAGGATGGACTACAATCTCATGTTTAGTTTACTAATTTGTATTGAGATTGTAGTCCATCCCGGGAGCAAGCCTGGAGCGGTGACTACTTTACAACACACACAGGGACCATGGGGAAAAAAAGTAGCCCCACTCCAGAAGGAAGGACAGTGTCGGCACCAATGCAGAGATGATTGGAGGATCTACAGCCGAGTGATAGACAAATAGGATACATTTTTGTTAATAGTTACGGCACTTGAATGTATTTTAAAGATTTAACTCCTGAGTTTAGTTCTATGGGCACAGCGTGGTGTGATGCAGTACTTTAAGAACATGTCCCTAGTGAAATTTTAATAAAGTTCTTAAAAATAATAAAAAAAGTAAACAGTGTAATGCTCTGGGATCGGCACACCAGCACTGTGCCTGGGATCGGCACACCAGCACTGTGCGTTGTAGCGCAGCTACTGGTGTGAACGCACCCTGCGTGTTGTAGGGATATTAGAGCTCCTTTGGGGACCGGGCTGCAAGGAATAGCTCTATGTACCTCTATATAAATAGCTGGGATACAAATACAGATTTCTCACCTGTATAAATGTTAATGGTTTGACGTATGCCACTTAGAACTCTCAAACTGCTAGTGAAAAGCAAGTCAGAGCACAGAACTGTCAGGGCAGGCTCTGACTTGCTTTCATTATATACCCTGGTCTCTCTTACCACGAGCAAACAACATGATCAAAGCCAAAATATAAAACAAATGCTGGCCACAAACTCTCCTTCATAAATGATGCTGCAGATTATAAGACTGCTTGCAAATGAATAATAATAAACATTTAAATAGCACTGAACACAAATCTGGGAAAGCACAGCATTCGTATTCGCTGAGATGAGACCAAAGATTTGTGTTTTTTGTTCTGAATTTTATGTTTTTTTTAAATCTGACCTCCGGCCTTCCCTTCCGCCCTGCACAGTTGTACCGGCTCCTCTCCTGGACTGAAATTACTTCCTCTGATATCACTGCACACTGCGAGCTCCTCACAATGTGCATTAGAAGCTGCGGCAAGTCACATAGAGCCCGCCTCATGTCCTGGCTGGAGGATGCCCATCATCATCTAGCTTATCGAGCCCTGATCTGTCCCTTCCATTCATGGGAATTCAGTTCTGTCACTCATGAAGCCTCAGCATCACATGTAGGCTTTACCTTGGTAAAGCGGTATTCATAAAGCCATGTGCAGCCCCTTCGATCGACCATAATCTTCTGCATTGCATAGGGAAGCACAAGGCAGAATTGATATAATATTCAGGGGCTAGTCTGTCAAATCCAGGAGCCAGCAACCTCTAAAGTTAGGTGCCAATGGTCATTTTTAAGGAGCATTGGCTTTCTAGCTCCCTCGTCAACTCCTCCTATGCTCTCATCCAGGACTTCTCTAGAGTCTCTCCCATCCTCTGGAACTCTTTACCCCAACTTGCCCATCTATCTCCCACTCTGACTGTCTTAAGGCGATGCCCTTAAGACTCATCTCTTCAGGGAAGCCTATCCCACCTCAACCTAACCGCTCAACCATCACATTCTCAAACAATTCATCCCCACACAGCTACCTCCTCATGTATCACTTGCCCCTCCCCTTTTAGACTGTAAGCCCTCACGGGCAGGGCCCCCCTTACCATCTTGTCTTGAATTGTATTGTGATTGTAATGTCTTCCCTATATTGTAAAGCGCGGTGCAAACTGTTGTCTATAAATCCTGTATAATAAGAATAATACCCGGCTCCTGGGATTTGTCCAGCCCTGGGTGAAGCTCTATACCAGAGGTGTGTGCGAACCTTGGCACTCCAGCTGTTTTGGAACTACAAGTCCCATGAGGCATTGCAAGGCTCTGACAGCCACAGACATAACTCCCAGAGGCAGATGCATGTTGGGATTTGTAGTTTTGGCACAGCTGGAGTGCCAAGGTTCGCCACCACTGCTCTGTACCATCCCCATGCTCTGTTTCCCTGGCACAGCACAGCTTCCTGTACACCTGTATATGTATATAGGTACTCGGTGAACAATAATCTTCTGACAAGGTAACCAGTCCAGACACAAGTACACACAGGGACTGTGACACGGGATGCAGCGGCTCACCTAAGTTCTTGTTCTTCTTCCTCTTCTCCTGCAGCAGCTCCATAAGCATCATTCTCTCCTGGCTGCTCTCCGTCCAGCTTGTCTGGAGCCATGGCCTTCGATCCACAGTCCGTTCTGTATGAAATAATAGAAGGATGTCACTCCAGCACTAGACACCGGACAACAGGACACAAAGGAAGACACTCCTGCTGCAGTTATCGGGACATGTGAGCGACAAAACAACACAGGAGTAATGTAATCCAATACGGCCTCCTGGTGCTAATGAAGAGAAGACCTAACATTCCTGGCTTCTTCTGTCCCTTCAACCCGGCTGCTGACCACCCCCCACCACCACATAATCCTCTGCGCTCACTTCCCCTACACAATGACAAAGCCAACTGTATCCTATGACCAGCACTGCAGTATGAGAGTCCACCGGATTATTGCTCTCTTTCCCTTTCACCCACAGCCGCCCGTTCTAGACGCCTCTCGGGTTCTGTCACGTAAGCACGGAAGCAGGTGACCGACAGCTGAGCGCACCTGCTGATAAACCAAGCCAGCGGCGGGCAGTCTGCAGCTCATGAAGCTTCGTCTGAACCAGGAGAAATAGAGACTCTGCTAATTATACTAAGTGAATAGTCAACCTGTCCTGTAAGCCCAGATCAAAGAGATGGGGATCATGACACGGGAGCAGGAGACGCCAGGGACTCACAGAGGACAAGTGTGATCAATGACAATGCAATGACAATGACACAACAAAAGACACTAGCTATGTATAAAAGTACAAGATTTACAAATAGATTACACATACTGCAAGTAGAACGACTTCCAGGGTCACCCCTGTGCCATCTGCTGCATGGCAAGAGGAATGTTATTACTTTTTATGGGGCCTGTTCATGCCCATGTGTTGTGGACATGACTCAAGATCAACACAGAGCAAGCAGGAAGCAAACACAAGGAAGACAACAACCAATGTGACAGCAGATGTGGCTTGTCATTGGTCAACACAAAAACAGCATTGCAGTGCATCAATAACACACATGCATGACTATGCAGAATGAGACGAGGGGGTCATTTACACCACTGCAGTGACCTCATTCACTGCCCGGGGCACAGAGAAGACAAGGTGCCCTGTTCACACTGCAATGATGACTTGGTGGGCTGCGGGAGAACGCGCTCCATTTTTTGCACAGTGCACCGAAAGTCATCGGTCAGCACGATGCAATTCGGCTGCGGTACGTTACTTTAATCAAATGTCATTTTGTGATGCTTCAATAAAGTTATTAAAATAATGTAAAACAGTGTGATGCGCTGAAACAGTGCAAAGCACCGCCCCCTACTGCACATAGCGCACACTACACTGCACGGGAAAACGCTGCGGCCCAGTGTGACTGGGACTTAAGGGCTTGGTCACACTATGTTCATTGAGCTGGGATGATCTGCACAGTAACTAACAGTTTGTATTTTTCATCACTTCCTGATCACATGACAACTGTAACAATTTGGAATGCCTATCACTTCCTGTTTCTGTGACAACTGTAACCATTTGGATTTTTCATCATTTCCTGTTCCTGTGAAAACAATTTGCCGGTCTCTGCGGTCCCTCAGCCGTCCGGCCAGGCGCGCAGCTGCGGTACCTCAGCCGTCCGGCCGGGCTTGTGGTCCCTCAGCTCCCAGCATACATACTGTAGAAAGCTGAGGGATCACAACTCCCAGCATACATGAAGAGCTCAGGGGCCACCAGTGCCAGGCTGGCCGAAGCACCACAAACCCCAGCAAATGTTATGTATCCCATACAGCTGCAAATAGGAGTTCTTCAAATGACCGGGTATGCTGAGAGTTGTAGTTCCCCCGGTTGGAAGACAGCAGCTAACACACATACAAAAACCCAACATCAGTAGAGAGAGCAGTGCAGGTTCCTCTCCTCACCGGATATTCCCTTCGTCTGCCTTCTCTCCGCTCTTCTCAGCTCAGAAACCAGCTCCCGGGTGACGCAGGAACAGGCCGCACACCGGAAACACTCGATACCATAGCAACAGGCCGCCGCGAGGAGGCGGAGTCAGAGCAGCTGTCACTGCTCTTATTTATGTTTTTTTTAATAAAGCTTTGCTTGTATGTGTCCCGTGCAGGGCGGAACGCAGGGGGCGTATCCTGTTTTTGCGCTAGCACTGCGCAAATGGGGCGCTAAAAAGGCCATATGAGGTTGCAGGAAGATGCAGAATAGAAGAGAACCTGTCATTTCATTTTAAGTGAACCTGTCATGACGGAATGTAGGGGAGCTGCCATTACTGAGCTGTACTAAGCTCCTGGTACGAAGCCTTGTCCAACAAATCAGTAATGGCAGCTCACAGGATCCCTTCATGACAGGTTCTCTTTAGCCACGTGACCTGTAGGGAAGAGCCATTTTTACATTTCTGCTATGGCCAATAATTGTCTTTCATGGTACTGAAGTAATATTAGCAGTCATTGGTTGAGTGGCGTCTGAGCTGCACACCATCATTAGTTGACTGGTGTCTGAACCGCACAGTATCATTGGCTGACTGGTGTCTGAGCCACACAGTGTCATTGGCTGGCTGGTGTTTGAGCCGCACAGTGCCATTGGCTAACTGGTGGACGAGCTGCACACCATCATTGGTTGACTGGTGTCTGAGCTACACACTATCATTGGTTGACCGGTGGATGAGCTGTACAGCATCATTGGTTGGCAGGTTGCTGAGCACACCATTATTGGTTGACTGGTAGCTGAGCCACGCAGTGTCATTGGTTGACTGATGGCTGAGCAGCGCACTATCATTGGTTGACTGAAAGCTGAGCCGCGCACCATCATTGGTTGACTGGTGGGTGAGCTGCACAGCATCATTGGTTGACAGGTGGCTAAAACGCACAGCAATATTGGATGACTGGTAGCTGAGCCACACAGCGTCATTGGTTGACTGGTGTCTGAGCTGCACAGCGTCATTGGTTGACTGGTGGCTGAGCCGCCTAGTGTCATTAGCTGACTGGTGTCTGAGCTGCACAGCATCATTGATTGACTGGTGTCTGAGCCACGCACCATCATTGGTTGACTGGTGGATGAGCTGCACAGCATCATTGGTTGGCAGGTGGCTTAAACGCACACAGGCATTGGTTGACTGGTAGCTGAGCCGCGCACCATCATTGGTTGACTGGTGGATGAGCTGCACAGCATCATTGGTTGGCAGGTGGCTTAAACGCACACAAGCATTGGCTGACTGGTAGCTGAGCCACGCAGTGTCATTGGTTGACTGGTGGCTGAGCTCTAGTGTCATTGGTTGACTGGTGGCTGAGCCGCATAGTGCCATTGGTTGACTGGTGGCTGAGCTGCTCAACATCATTGGTTGACTGGTGGCTGATCCGCACAGCGTCATCGGTTGACTGATGTCTAAGCCACAGTTCTTTAGGATACCATAACAACCTATGATGCTGTGGGGCCTCCAGCATTTTAGCAACCAATGACACTGTGTGACCTAGCTGCTTGTAGCTTCCTAGCAACCAATGATGCTGAGCAGCTTTGTCGTTCACCAATCCCGGATTTCTGGCTGGAGCCGGCGAGTGTCCAAGCAAAGCGTACCCAGGCACATTTGCTTATTACTACCAGACAGGAAGTGGAGGGAAATCACTATCAGTATCATCAACAGAAACAAATAGAGGGGAATTTATCAAAACTGGAGCAGGCAAAATCTGGAGCAGCTGCCCACGGCAACCAATCGGCTTCTCTCTTTCATTTTTAAATTTTAAATGAACAAACTAAAGACAGAAGCTGATTGGTTACTATGGGCAACTGCTCCCAATTCTGTTGCTCCAGTTTTGATAAATTCCCCCCATATTATTTTTTTTTAGTAGAAAAGAGAAAAGCTGGAACCCCTTGTTGTAGGTTCTCCCTTTCTGAAACCATTGTCAACCGGACAGGAAGTGGGGGAAATCATGCACAAGAGTTACCTCATCCCGACACAGCCAATCAACATTTGCCACAGACCCTAAACCCGGATGAAGCCAGGGGGAAGATGTTGGCGCCATCGAGCGAGCTCGTAGACATAGCATCGCTGAGGGGGTGAGTATTTCTGGTCACTGTTGCAGAAAGCAGGGCATGTTTCAGGTAGGCCACAAGATGGCTGCTGCTCTGCTCACACCATTTTTTCCCAGAGTCCGGCCTTAAGCTTTTTTTTCTGATTTGCTCCATGGACAGATAATCCCAACATACACATATCAAACCCATTCATGTCCCAACATACAGAACTGTGCCCGTTGATTGTTTGCTTCAGTAACTTCTAATCTTTCTTTTCGGCCATCGCTCTCATCACCTCCACAATAACGTTACGGAAGAGCGCTCTATCCCAACCACGAAAGGCTCTGATTGGCTGGCGGGCTTCCACAGGTAAAACACTGCACCCTGGATTTGTGTGCACAGGGCTCAATACATAATTGGCTATGGAATTAGAGAACAAAGCGCTGCATTCTGGGCCCTGGCCCAGCTTCAATTTTTTTGGCCTGGGAATTATTTGCAGTGCTGAGTCACAGGGGCACATGAATAGACAAGAGGGAAAAGGAGGGACACCCTCGTTTTATATAAGGCCGAGGGTGCTTTGTCTTCTGGTTCATTTCACAGCTCGCGTCTTATCTCATTCACCATGGCTGGAAAGGAAATCATTGTGGTCTTTGGGGCGACTGGTGAGTAAATGACTGACCTTGGCAAGAGCACAGAGGCTCAGGAGTTAGCACTGTTGCCCTCTAGAGTTGTTACTATGTGGATTTGTTTTCCTTAGAGGGTCAATCCACCCAAAACTCGTAGTTCAGTGGTTAGTAGAATCTGGAGAGTTCACCCAGAAGGTAGTCTCCTCTATCTCTCTGGGACTCTGTTGGTGTGACCTCTGTAAGCTCCTGGGTCTTCTTACCATTGAGGCTTTCCCACTCTCGGTGATGGATTTTCAATGTATTTTATATTATGGAGAAAGTAACAAGAGGAGCTGGAACACTCAGACATGGGCAGGAACACACAGAACTCCCAGGTGGTCAGGGATTAGGGCAGGGAGGTCTCACTGTTGGATTATCCAAGATAGTCTTTCAACCAGGGTTTCATAAACCCTTTGGGCTCCTCCAGAGTTTGCTGGGGGTTCCTTGACAATCATTAATGTAACCACTACTCTAAAGGACATTCTTCCTCCAATGTTTCACCCATGTGAGGTCCCTTGGCCACTGAAAATAAATGTAAGGGGCCCTTCTCCATTGACCACCAGAGTAAGAGTGGGCTTCTCCACTGGTCACTTGACTAAAGGAATATTCTTCCTCCTGCTGTCCACCAATGTAAGATGTCCTTTGTCCCACTTACTATAAATGTAGTCCTTCTCTCCTGATCGCCAATTTAAGTGGAACCCTTCTCCACTGGCTACCAATGTAATGGGACATTTCTCCACTGACCACCAATTTGAGGGGACGTTTCACTGACCACCAATCTGAGCAGGGCATTTCTTCACTGACCACCAATCTAGGGGAGATTTCTCCACTGACCACCAATTTGAGGGGACGTTTCACTGACCACCAATCTGAGCAGGGCATTTCTTCACTGACCACCAATCTAAGGAGGTATTTCTCCACTGACCACCAATCTAAGCAGGGCATTTCTTCACTGACCACCAATCTAAGGAGGTATTTCTCCACTGACCACCAATCTAAGGAGGTATTTCTCCACTGACCACCAATCTAAAAGGGCATTTCTCCATTGATTAGCAATCTAAGGTGGAATGTTTCCACAGACTACCTATCTAAGGGGAGATTATCTCCACGACCATAAGTCTAAGGCGGAATTTCTCCACTAACCACCAAATTAAGAGGGCGTTCCTCAAATGACCATCAATCTAAGGAGTCTATTCTCCACTGACTACCTATCTAAGGGGAGATTTTTTCCACTGACCACCAATCTAAGAGGACATTCCTCCTCTGACCATGAATCTAAGGAGACATTTCTCCACTGACCACCAATGTAAGGTGTATTTTCACTGTCTATTTTTGATCTGGTATGTGGTACCATTTGATGATTATATGGCGCACAGTTTTTCTGATTCTCTCTGCAACTTCTAGGGTTGCTCTGGGGTGAAAAGGTTGAGAAGTGCTGATCCAAGATCTATGACTTTCTCTCGCAGGTGCCCAGGGTAATTCAGTGGCTTGTGCTCTACTGCAGGACTGCACCTTTGCAGTCAGGGCGGTGACCCGGGATCCCAGCAAACCGGCTGCTGCAAAGCTGAAGGAAGCCGGCGCGGAGGTGGTGGCTGGGGATCTGGATGATGAGAAGAGTTTGGAAGCCGCTCTAAAAGGAGCTCACGGTGCTTTTGTGGTCACCAATGCGTGGGACCACTCCCCTGATCATAACAAGGAAGTCGCCCAGGTAAGCAATAGCGGGATTATGTAATAGTATACCGTACCGTTGTATCTTATGTGAAAAATGTGTGAATCTTGGCTGAAAACATTGATAAATAGACCCCTTGCACCTTTAAGCTGAACTCCAGGTAGATTTAAAAGACACAAATGAATGCAATTCTGTTAATACAACATTTCAAAGCTCCTATATATACATATACACACTATATTGCCAAAAGTATTGGGACACCCCTCCAAATCATTGGATTCAGGTGTTCCGTGACATTTCCTTGCTACTAAATATTCCGCAGTCACCTGTTACTGGTATTATAACAAAGTGGAAGCAACCGGGAACAACAGCAACTCAGAGTCAGCGCATGCTGAAGCGCACAGTGCGCAAAGGTCGCCAACTGTCTGCAGAGTCAAAAGCTACAGACCTCCAAACTTCGTGTGGCCTTCAGATTGGCACAACAACAGTGCGTAGAGAGCTTCATGGAATGGGTTTCCATGGCCGAGCAGCTGCATCCAAGCCTTACATCACCAAGTGCAATGCAAAGCGTCGGATGCCGCGGTGTAAAGCACGCCGCCACTGGACTCTAGAGAAGTGGAGACGTGTTCTCTGGAGTGACCAATCACGCTTCTCTGTCTGGCAACCCGATGGACGTGTCTGGGTTTGGCGGTTGCCAGGAGAACGGTACTTGCCTGACTGCATTGTGCCAAGTGTAAAGTTTGGTAGAGGGGGGGTCATGGGGGGGAGAGGGGTTGTTGTCCAGGGGTTGGGCTTGGCCCCTTAGTTCCAGTGAAGGGAACTCTTAAGACATCAGCATACCAAGACATTTTGGACAATTTC